AGTGAAATCTAAAATGGAGGCCATGTTGAGAATAAATTTCCGGAAAAGCTGAGGAATGTTAATGAAGCCCAGGAAACCGCCCCAACAGATTTGAAAGCCACCACCCATCCCAAAGAAATGTTAATGAAACCCAGGAAACAGCCCCCAACAGATTTGGAGATAGCCCATCCCAAAGAAATGTTAATGAACAGCAAACTTGACTGGGAAGTGCCCAGATTACTTCTTTGGCCCACCTGTGTCCCAACCCTTCCCACCTACATTCCATCACCAAAAACTATAAAAAGGGGAACACATTCGCCCTTCAAGGGATTCCACCTCTTGGGTCCCCTTCTTCCTCCGGGAGAAGTCTTTTCTACTGTCCTTTAATAAACTTCTAATTTTCCACTCTGACCTTGCCTCCGAGTGCTTCTCTGGTGTTATTCTTCAACATTGGGGAAGCAAGGACTCGTCACCGGTCAACAGTGGTAACACTGGGAAGATGCAGAACAGACAGAGTTCCAGGGTGCTCCCCATACCAACATTTACCACTCAATCATTCAAATTACCCTCACAACGAATACCCTGGTGTTAGATTATTCTTCTCCTTTAACACCAGCTCAAACATCCTCAATGGTTAAATTAATGACAAACATTATCTCTTAATAGTCCACCATACTTGGGATTACCTAACAGCACTGATTACTCTCCTGTAGCCCAGGAGAAGCCCTGTTTGGGCGCCTTGACTCTGGGTTCATGCTCCGAGCCCCTGATCCGTCTGACCAGCCTCATCTGCATTTTGGCACTCCACATTTATTCTCTATCATCAGGAAAACTTTTCTTACTCCCAGACCCAATCTGATCTTGTTCCTGATATAGACTTTTACACTCTCATTATTGTAGTAATTATTGTAATTAAAAGTGAATAATTTTTAGGAGAGTTGGCCTGTTTCCTCTTTGGAGTGTACGCTTTAGAACAGGAACCACAACTTGTTCCCGGCTGTGTCTCCAGCCCTCAGCATAATCCCTAGCCCCAAGGGAACACACAAATTCCTGTTTCCTGTCACCGTGGAGCAGTGTCAGAGTGTGTGGATGGGGTCACTTATAGTCCATCTTCAGAAAGAAAGGAGTGTTACATACAGCAGGAGATGATGGATTAATCTGTCGCAACTTAATGGGTAAGTGATTCTGGTGACGGGCAGCATATAGTTCACATAGTGGCAATCTCACTGCCTGGGGCCCTTGAGTCTGCTGGAACTCTGAACCAGGAGAAGATATGACACCCATGACCTTGCCTGTAGAACTGAAATAAATGGGGGTGGGGTGGGAATGAGGAGGAAGGTGATTAAGACTAAGGGAGGAGGCTTGGCTATGTTCAAATTGTGCTCTCCAGTCAGGAGGCATGTAACACATAGCAGTGGTCAGCAGGGGGAGCCATTGCTTTGTTAATAGCCCAGAACGTGGCCTGGTGCAGAAAGTCCCTCTAACTTTAGCCTAGGGAGTCATCTCATCTTCTGACACCGGTAAGGTACCAAGATGTTGATTCTTAAAGTTAAAACTTGCCTGTAACAAGCTGCGGGAGCCCAGCAAATTACACATTTTAGGTGTTGGAGTGTTTTCTGTAAAATAATTTGTGAAAAGGTTGGGACCTTCATAAACCCAGACCTGGCAGAAACCAGACAGGAAAGGAGCTCTGGTTTGCCGAGCAGAGCAACTCACAGGATTTTCACCTCAGCGGTGCTGATTTGTTGGGCTCTGTCTCTGTGTGGTGCTGTGTGTCTGGATAAGTTGCATCACCCCTCAGAACCCCGGAGTCCCGGGATGGTGGTGAGAGGAGGTGAGTCTGGACAACCCTGCTGGTATAATTCCTGGATCTTTGCATGTTGCTGTTGTGAATCATATTGGATGAGGAATAATGGATTAGCCTCCATCTCCCCCGCCAGCCTCGAAGCTCACTGAGGGAGGGATGGCGCACTGTGCGCATCTCTAAGGTGAGGCCTTTTAAGACTTTGACATTGCCTAGGACCTAATGTCAGAATACAGTCAATGTTCAGAGGGGTCAGTGATCTGTTTGTGATATGTGGTTAAACCGGACGAGGAGGCTGAGGCTGGGAGCAAGCCCAAAGGTGAGAAGTCAGTCTGTGAGTTGCCCCGGTAACCTTCCCACCTTCTCCTGTACAATCCTGGTCCTTACCAAGTGCATCCCAGAGCCCTAAGTCTGATCCCAAGTCTAGATACCTAAGTCTAGATACCACACCCACCTGGTGCAGACTAGTTATTGGGCTTTTTTGTTCATGGTGTGGCTCTTTTTGTTTTTGCCTCCATGTATTTATCCAAGGATCATGCCAATCACTGGGCCAGTTCTTAGACTGGACAGCTGTTCATCTCTTGACCCACAGCATCCCGGAGAGCTTGAGATGCCTGTCTGTAGCGAATTGGCCCCTCTGCACCTTCTCATCTTGGCTTCTTTCTTGTGTTTGTTCCTTTCTGACGTTTTCCTTCATCTCTAATGACAGGTTGGGTCCACGTACATAGTAAGGAGAGAGCCTTATCAAGCGGAAGTCCTTCGCACCCATCAGCACTGCCATCACCTCTGCCACCAAATCTCTGTGTCAGATAAGACTTCAGGCTGCGGCGTTTTAAACACATTGTCATTTCAGATTATTACTAAAGGATGTCTAGGGGAAGAGGCAACCTGACGTAACCCAGAGCAAGGAGGGAGAAGTTGGGAATCTGTTTGAATGGGGTCTAGTGCTCGGCTTATCAGCTGGGTAAGGAGCAGCCTACAGTGTTCTGGGCCTTGGCTTACTTATCTCTAAGGTGGGGCTAATAATGCCTCTTTGCAGGATTGTCAAGAAAATTGGAGATAATATATATGCAAAACCTGGCACACTGTAGCCCTTCAGTAACTAATAACTAAAAAGATGTCCTTGATACACCCTCCTAACGTATTCAGTTGTAGTCTGTTATTGGACAGGAGTCTTTTAACATGAATCTAGAGTTAAGACTAATAATATTACTTGGATATGTTTAATCTCCTGCTGGTGCAAGGAGCCGTCACACAGTCCCTAGTGGGTGGACCTGTGGTGGCATGTGCATATCAAGCTCGGCTTGCTGGGAAGCTGTGGCCTGTCCCCTGTCTTGCCTTCACACTGCCCCACATCTCCCGAGGCCCCAGTTACTTCTAGTTGCCTACCCAGCATCCAGCACTCAGTTTTGCTGGGGCCCGCAGGCTGTCCTGTTAAAGTACCTTCCTCCGCGCCTGCAGGGAATGACTGTCGGCCCCAGTTCTGGGGAGGGGTACTGCTGGGGGTGTCTGGGAAGCTCCGCCTTGCTGATATAAGCACCCCTAGTTCTGCTGCAGCAGCCTCTTTCCTCCTGCCTGGAGGTCCACAGCCCTGAGCCAGCGCCCTAGGTTAGCTGGGGCCACAGACCGTGTCTGGCTAATGAATCGAGAGCAGAGTGACTTGTGTCACATGTAGGCTGGGGTATTTTCATACCAATGTGAAATACCCCTCTCTCCAGAGCTCTCTTTTCCATCTACCATGGCAACTAGGAAAATTTGAGATAATGGTTGATATATTGTCTGGGGCCTCAAAATGAAGAGACATGCATCAGAAGTCCCAGCAGGGGCATGTATTAGGAATTATAAATATGCCATTGGTCATTCTCATGATGTAACATTGGAAGTTACTGAGATTTTGGAGTTCTTTGTTACTGCAGCATAAGCTAGCCTATCCTGACTGATAAGCCCTGACTGCTTATCTCCACTAATCTGTCATTTATGGGATGACCAAACCTAAAAGCCAGAGTGAATGATTGAAAGCATGAATTATCAGATCTTTCTCTTGGGTTACATTTAGATAAGAGGGCCCCTATAGATAACAATAACACATTATATATTTCAGAAAGCTAGAAGAAAGGATTTTGAATGTCTTTGCGATTAAAAAAATGGCAAATGCTTGAGGAGATGGATGTGTTCACCCTGGTTTAAATATTCCTCAATGTATACATGGATCAAAACAGAACATACTGCCCCCATGATATGTATAATTTTCACATGAAAATTTTAAATTTAAAAATCCCTTCTCCTGAGAGCCCTCTTCTGGCGTCATTTGTAGGAATGACCATAAATCCGCCTGGTTTCTCGTGGGTCTCAGACGGCTCGGCTCCATCCTTGTTCATCTTTGCTGGTGTCCAGAATCCCCGAGGGCCTCACTGACAATGCAGATGCCCAGTTGCTCCAGGGTGGATCTGGAGTGTCCCCAAGACCCACGAGAGGAAGCTGGGTGCTGCTAGGAGGTAGAGGAGCCTTTGGCGGTGGTGGCCCTTCCGGGAGGAAGCTGGGTCCCTGGGGGCTGCCCTGGAAGGAGGCTGGTTCTTTCCTTCCCTCTTTCCTTCCCAGCCTCCTCCTCTTCAAAGGCCCAGAGCAACAGGGCCAAGCACCTGGAGCCCTCGGAGCTGAGCCCAGGTGAACCCTTCCTCCTTCTTCCTGATTATCCCACGTTATTTTATCCAAACAACATAAAGCCGACCGACACGCCGTCCTCTCCCAACTCCCAGGGCCAATCGTCAGAGCCGGGTCACGGCCATCTCCATTTTAAACAAGTGTTCCAGGGGGGCTTGACGATGCTCCTCCGGGTGTGGCCCCAGACGCCATCGCCAGGCCGGGAAGCCGGATCACGAGAAGCTGCAGGCTCCGTGGCTCCTCTCAGTCTCCTCACCCCACTCCTCCTCCCTCCTGGGCTCTTTCCAGCTGGCCAGTCCTTCCTACACGAGGGCGTCACCTGGGGGGGGGGGGTCTGCTCGCTGCCCTTGGACCTCTTGTCTGTGACAAAGGAGGAGTGGTGAAGGTGGCCAGAGACGTCTGCAGCCCCACTCCCCGCCCAGAGCACAGCTACTGCTCCTGGGCCAACCCCAGGGCGCTTGTACCTCGCACAGGTGCTGCCGCCTGCGGGTGATGACGCAGTGGGCAGACGGCTTCTTGGTTCCTGCCAGTGTTTCTCTGCAACTCTCTGTTTGGAGAGAATGCTTTGATTTCGGGGCTGTGGACAACGAGATCCAGGTGAGTGGCCCTCCTTCGGTCCCACCTTGCCCCTCTCCACCCACCTCCCACTTCCTCATGGGGCCAGGAGAGGCACTGAGTGTCCAGGGGGACTCAGGTGCCATCTCTCTAGCCAAGCCCTGTGCGGGAAAGGAAGATGCGTCAGGACAGAGCAGGCCCAGCATGGCCTGCAGCTCTATGAGAACAGAGATGGACTCCCTGGGGTTCAGAGGAGAAGAGCAGAGTAGCAGGGGTCCTTGCCTATTGAGTGCCCCACCTGTGGCAGCTCCTTACCTGCCACACCACCCGTCAGGACCATCACACAGAAGAGAAGAGTAACGTTCAGAGAGGGGAGGTCACCAGCCTGCCCGATGCCCAAAGCCTGGAATCCTCTTCTGGACTATGGTGGGAGGAGTCGGCCTTTGGGGCCTGTGTGGACTCTGGGCCCCGCTCCACACAGCTGTGAATCAGTGGGCTGGCTCTCTCCTCAGGCCTCTGTGTCCTCGTGCATGGTGAGGGTGACCTGGGAGAGTCACAGGCGCCTGGCAACTGCTGAGTCCTAGTCTGTGCCCACTGTTATAGGTAAGAGAGCAAGAGCTTGGCTGTGGGTTGCTGGGCAGGAAAGAGGCCGAGCAGGCCGGGGCACTGCCCAGGGATTCATGGCTCTGGACTTGGGAAGCTTTCTCAGGACACTGCTGTGGTTTGACCTGGTCTTTAGCTGGTCTGGCTGCTTGTCCAGCTCCATGGTGACCTGTTGCACTCACCTCCGCCCCGCCTGGTGCCTGCTCTGCTGGACACTCCCTGGGCTGGGACGAGGACAGGGAGTGTGAGGAGTGATGGGAGCTCCTCACCCTCGACAGCAGAGGCAGGAGGACTCAGGACGGTGTCCTGGGCTCACACAGGAGGTAGGTTTGGGGCCTGCCTGGCTCCTTCCGCTGCCCTCTCTGACCAAACCTGTGATACAGACTTTTGGTTTGGATCCTGGCTCCAGAGGCAGGTTGCCTGGGCTTGATCCCCAGCAGTGCTGGATAAAGCCTTGGGCAAGTTATTTATCAGCTCTAATAGGTCTCAGTTTCCCCACTTGAAAATCGGAGAAGATAGAAACAGAACTTCCTGGAATTTCTTTACATGGACAAAACATTGTACTTACGGCACCTGTTGGAAAGTCAGCACCTGGTAGATGCTCCTAAGTCACTTCTGTTGCCCACTGGTGACTGTTGGGAAAAGTATAAACGGCAGCCATACCCCAGAGAAAAAAACCCCAACATGGCGCCTAAGGACCTCTTCTTCCTACCTTCTTCTTTTCTGCAGTGGCGCGAAAATTTCCTGCCCGTGTGAACTCTCCCGCCAGCGCCAATTTCAAATCTCGCTGGCGGGGAAACTTAGCTCCATTGAGAACTAATTCCTGGGCTCCGGAGCTGATATCTGGAAGAACTTGCCAATAAACGGGTTGCCTGCCATTTATCTAAGCCCTACCATCTCCCCCTTAGTTCTATATAAGCACACAGCTTTTTGCAACAAAATTGGAATTCTCCCGGCGAAGTGTCTTTGTGTGGGGAATTTTCAGTGACAACCTCGACCCCCCAACATGTGCACATATCACCTTCTTGCAGTCCTCGTCCTTGGAGCAGATCTAACCCCCCTGTGTCTCCGTCCTGGGTTCAGAGGGATGTCGAGTGCATGGGAGACCTGGATATGGCCTCCACCTTGCACTTCAACCTGGAGGAGAGCACAGCTTAGACAGAGATGCCCATGACGGGCCACCCGGGATGGAGGTAGCACAGAGGCCAAGAGGGTGCAGCCTCAGATGGCCTTGGACCATCACAAAGAAAGTGGCCCTTGAGTGGAGTGCTAATGCATGCAGCAGGTGCCTTTTTAGAAGTGCCTTTGGACATGCTTTCTGCACTTAGCGTCATAGTAGGAGGTGGACACCACAATCGGTAGGAGGTGGACACTTCTGCCATAGAGCCCAGAAATCAGATTTCCCAGTTTCCTGAACCTGTGCTCCTGACTCTGGCCATCTGGGCCACTCTGACACTCTGATGGGGCAGGGGGCATGTGAGGAAGCAAGCCTGTGTCGGGACAGCTGTCAGCCTTCAGGGGCAAGTGAGACCTGATGGGCAGCTGTGGAGGCACTAATGCCATGTCTGCCTCAGCACCGGGGCAGTGACATTTCCCCTGGGTGTCCAGTGGCATGACTTTGGATATGGCACCTGTCTTTGTAGTCTCCAAACCTGGACTTCTGATCCTCCCAGAGATTCTGAGAGCCGCAGTCCACCCTATCTATAGATATTTACTCTTAAAGTTGCGAGAATTAATTTTTGAGGAGCCTAAGACTGTGTGTGTGTGGGAAGCAGAGGAGGAACTGGCCCAGGCAGAGGGTGCAGTTTGAGCAGAAGCTCTGAGGCTTGCAGAACTTGGATGCATTCTGAAGGTCATGGCAAGTCACGTGAGCTGTGTGGGGTCACAGGGCCTGCATTTGGGGTGGTGGGGACCCCAGGTAGTGAACTTGATTAAGTTAAGGCATTCCACCCTGGCAAACCACCAGGGTGGGTGTGGAGAGCAGGCAGGCGCAGGGTGGAGAGGAGAGAATTGGACGGGGCGGGGACTACTAATGCTACCATTTCAGAGGTCAAGTTTGACCTGGGAGTGGAATCAATGGATTTTAAATAGCGCAGGAGTTGCAGCTGATGAGAAACTCACAAGGATTTCTCTGGGACAGTTCTGAAGTGTGATTGGACTGGGTGACATAGAGGCAGGAAAATCAGTGAGGGGATGGCAGGAATCATCTCATGGGGCAGGGCTGGGGATGTAGCTCAGCTGGTAGAATGCTTGCCTTGTATGCACAAGGCCCTGGTTCAATTCCCAGGATCACCAAACAAACCCATTCATGGGGCAGGTGTTGGCTAGGATGCTCTGCCCCTTGAGATCTAGCTAAGATGGCTCACCTCCTCCCTGTGGCCATCCTAGGCCCTGCAGAAGGCCCAGCCTGACTCTCCTCACTTTCTGCAAATTCCCTGTGGTCAGTGGTCACGTGTGCTTTGGAAAGCCTGCCCTGATGTTCCTTGTGATGGGTGGATTTTCAGGTGAAAAAACTCGGCACCCTGATGTCTGGGTACTGACTGAAGTTCGGCAGGTGTCAGTTCAGGAACTGATGCTTAGAAACAAGCAAGCTGCCAATCGCACTTTCAACTTCCTTGTTCCTGGAATCTCTTCCAGAGGGCCTCCCTGTCAGCTGCTTCCCCTCTGGAGTGTGCCTGCCCGTCCAACTCTCTGCTGTCCACACCCACCCTGGTGGTTTGTCAGGGTGGGATGCCAGGCTGTCACAGTGGGGTGGAGGCCCAGCCAGTCATCTCCCTGAGCTCCTTCCTCCAACTCAGCTCCAGGCCCATTTTTTGCATCTCCAGACCCATCAAAGGGCCCATCCAGACACAAAAGCCACCCTTTCACAATGAAGGCAGGAATCCATCCTCCCGGGATGGGTAACAATTATTTCCCTGCCTCTATTAGAATTGTTGGTTGCATTTTGCAGTTAATAACTGCAAACTAGTAGTGGCCGATGCATGACAGACGTTTGTCTGTCTGTGTGCAAGTCTGGAGGAAGGTGGTTCCTGGCTGATGGGGCAGTGCAGGGACCCTCCAGCCCCCTCTCTGCTCTTTTTCCTCCTTAACTTGCTGCCTCCTGATCCAAGATGGCTGCCCGAGTCTCCTGGCCACAGAGGGCTGCAAGGCAGGATGGGAAATGTAGTCTTTGAGCTCTTGACACAGTCTCCTGTTAAAGCTTGAGGTTCACATTCCTGTGATGAAGAGGCAAAAGTGCATTGGAGGAAATGAGCGTTCTGCAGTGTAGCTTTGGAATCCACTTATCTCAGAAGTTACCACGGGACCCTTCTCTGGATTGGGTGTTCAATGGAAATTCTGGCATTTGGTCCGTGGTCACTGGGTGAGATGGGATCAACTGTTGCACATGTTCCATTTAAAAGTGCCAGCGCTAAAGCTTTCAGAAGGGCTATGGGGCAGACAAACCCTGGGAGTGTAAGGCCCCCAGAGGGCAGAAAGACCCAAGCTCATGTGCCTGGTGCCCTGCAGCTTCCCCAGTGTCTGAGTCCACCGCCTGTTGATATTAAAAAAAATACCTGAG